GATCACGTATGTAGAAATGCCTGTGGGTATATGGTATTGTGTGTCTAAATACAAGAAGTTTATAATAAATGTTGTGTCTGCCTGTAGGCAAATCAATAAAGGGTTAATGGTATATGTATTCTTATTTCATCGAGTGAGTGATTGAGTAGGGTCAGTATAGAAATACAGAAAAATATTTACTGTCCCGAGCGAACTATACAAAAAGGGGCGTGTTATATTGGAATGACAAATGCTGTTTTATTACAGAAAGGTTATGAATAGCAGCTAATTATCATTTTTTACGACTTTAATTTCAGTGCTGTCGGCAGGATACATATATCCACTACTGACTATATTGAAATTACCACATTATATAATGTGTGTTCGAATTAATGTGCACAATTAATATATTAGTTTTAGTATATATACAAAGGTCAGCTAGGAAGTAATACCTCCTATTTTATGCTAGTCCGCGACATCAGAGAAGTTTCTGGTATGGTAGTAGAATGAAAGAAATCTCAAACAACTTTCCGAATTTTTTCTGTCGTTTTCTTACAGATAACCTGGCAAAATAGCGTCTGACATGAAAGTGAGTACGAAACACATATTAGTCGCTGAATGTGAATTTCACTCATTAACATCGAGTGACTCAAGCTGAACGTTTATGGAGACCAAACAGTGGATGTGAGCCAAATCAGATGTTGGCCAAGAGACTTCGAAGAATATGGCAGAAACTAGCTGCTCGGGTAAGTAAGATTTTTCGCCTTCACATTGTCCGATCATTTGTTGTTAACTTCAAAGAACAACATTACCAAGAATTAACATTAAGCCTTAGAAGAATCATGGGTGATTTTTTTTTTTAATTTGAAATTTATTTATATCACCTTCAGAAAATTACTAGTGGAACAAACGTTATCAGCTTAGGATGTGATTCGTACCGGGAAATACAAGTGTTTTAATCGAATTTTATGTTAATAAGGAATTTTTGTTCCCAGAAGAGTTAATCTGCGGTGTTTCACTCTAGCCATCACAAAATTAGACTTTGCATTCTGTGTAACACCAGAGAATTAAAACAACGAAATACATCAGAAGGTTGCCGAGGAAGGTGTCCTCGGTGCCACCAAGTGCAGAGTCGATCCTCAAAATATGTCAGTGGCTACCCCGACATCTGAATTTAGGATGTTCGCACTCGAGACTGTCAGTTATGTGCCATGTGGGATACATGCTTAGGCGATTATGTATCTTTCGATATATGACTGAAGGCAGATTTTTTTTCCGCAGTATGTTGCCATTTCTTTCTGCGGTAGACCAGTTGCCATCCAAGTCTATAGAACCCGGCCTGTCCTGCTATTTACCTATAGCTGGGAGAGCAGAGGATTCATACCTATCCCAAGGTAAGTGAATGTAATGGTTTCGGCTAGAATTCGAACTCGCCTCTCCGATTCCTCAATCCGAGGCGCTATTCATTATTCCGCCGCTCGAGGCAGCCAGATGATATTAAGTTATATATGTGCCCCACTTGAGAGTGAAAGACCGGAGTTATTCACAATATCACGAAAAGATGAGCAACATTTAACAGAACCCGCATCAAACCAGACAAATTCAAGACAACATTAATTGATGAAATCCATAAATAGGTAAATAATAATTTTGCGTATGACAGATTTAATCTCATATTCTAATTAGTCGTTCCAACGATAAAGTTACATTGATATAAAAATTTATATTTTTTCTTTTTCCCACGTGAGGGAGGCCATTATACTCGGTTCTCTAAAAAAAAAAAAATTCCCATAAGGCATTAGCGTATGTGTGTTACGGTCATGGGTATATAATGGTATACCCCCACAACCCTTTATTTCAGCTGCCTTATCGTCTTATGTCTAGCCACGCTGAAGAGCTGTGAAACAGCGAAACAGTCTGTCTGTGGATGACTTTATATTGGCTCCTGAAAAATTAATTTCAATTGAGCTCTCTGGGGAAGAGGTGTGGGTTTGTAAACAGTGACTATTAAGGCCTGATATAGCGAGACTCTTCGACAAAAGCGAATTGAGTCACTGTCGGTCACTGTTTGTGTTTATCTAAAAATAAATACGCTAAAATTCACCTTCTACCACTAAGCCGACGGCTTAGTGGTAGAATCTCCGGCTGACACCAATTCAGTCAGGTTTCGATCATAGCTAGAAGCAACGGGATGTCTAGCCACACTGAAGAGCTGTGAAACAGCGAAAGAGTCTGTCTATATATAGACCTAAGGTATGCTATATCTATGGATTAAAGTGACCAAAATCAGGGATAGAGAGTATGTAAATATAAAAGTGGATTTTGAATTCAACACCCAGCGGTGACAGTCTGTTTCATGCTTATACGCATTTGTCAGGCCATGACGATTGCGTTTAGCATGAAACAGACTGTCGATGGGTGTTGACTTCAATGTCCACTTATATATATATATGTGTGTGTGTGTTTCTGTGTGTTTAGTCAGCAAATGTTCTTTTAAAGCAAATATTCAAAACAACAGACATTTTTATCGATTAATTTTAGTGAGTGGAAAAGACGACTAGTAAAAATAATCGACACAAAATGTCAGATGTCTTTAATAAACTACACATTCGTTTATATTTTCCTATAAAGTGTCTGACTTATCTGTTAAATATTCAAAAATATTAATTTAACTAATAATATATATTATTTTCATTGCCGTCCGTGACTCTTGCTGAGTTTATCAGATTGGAGAGACTTCTAATGCCCTATGTTTTTTTGTGGTAACTGTAAATGCGAAGCAAATAAAATTTGCAATAAAATGAAGGGATATTTCTATCAAGGCGCATATAAATTATTATAGCAATAAGAGCAAATATGATATTTCTCTTCTACAACCTATTAGGCAAATCGATGTCCACTTCTAACTTTCCACACTTAACCAGTTTGCGGGAACTTCCTGTTTGCAAACAAAGGGGAGAGAATTTAGCGTTTATTGCGTAATCTCCGCATCGCTTTTGGCTTTCGGCGTCTCTCGCTTATTGACAATGTTCTAAAATAAAGAAAAGATTTGTTTTATTTATTAGATTTGTTGATAAGATAGGATCTGCCCCCAACGCCATTCCTGTTGCCCTCAAGCTTTTTCTTGCCTGCCTGCCGTAACTCAAACTGTCTTCCTGCTGTTCTAATCTATCATTACTTGGTTAAGCCTTATGGTTCAATCATTCCTATGTGACATTTTGATCAGAATATGGCGTGACCATGCAATGTCTCTCCGCAGTACATCTATAATATGAACACGATTATTTGCTGAACAATTGTCAGCGTTTTTTGTATTCTTGATTTATCTACTAATTCATTCACACATACGCGCATGCGTGATCAGTAGGGAGGGAGGTCTTTTGGAACTTGGATTTTAAATGTATTTAACAACTGATGGATAGATTTATCTCTATGAATAATTTTGCTTGCATGCCAACCCGAGTGTTCTGGTTCTAATATACAAATACAACAATAAAACTTTCTCTCTCTCTCTCTCTCTCTCTCTCTCTCTCCTCTCTCTCTCTCTCTCTCTATATATATATATATATATATATATATATATATATATATATAATTTACTAGCAGTAGAGCCCGGCGTTGTCCGGGGATGTAACAGTAAGAGATAGATCAAGTATCGACCATCATAAAGACTAAAAAATAAAATTGACAAAGATTATTGTTTAAAGTTGACGGACACGCATGTCTTAAGTAGATTTTTTTTTTACGAATTGGTCAAACTCAAACAAAAACATTGTTTTCAATCATTATGTTTCTACTGATAGAATAGAATTTTATTATAAACAATTGTCTTGTAAATGCAATTTTAAAGCATTCTGCAAGTAAAAATAAAGAAAAAAGTGTGCAAGACAATAAGAAATACTACCTGCCAAAAAAAAGTGAAGTTTTGAAATCGGTTGAAAAATGTAAGAAATCCGATCCCATATATAAATGAACACACATACACACAAACAACCTGGGTTTTATAATAAGTATAACTCGATATGAGTTGTCCCTCTTGCATTCTCGTGATGCCTCTTAATCGTGTTTTCAAATTGATTTCGTGCAAAAACAATTGTGTTTTTCCAATTTTCGGCACTCTCAGAACCACCGCAAGGTAATATTACGTAGTCCTGTGAGGTTTTGTTGACATCGGTTGAAAAATGTAGAAAATCTGATTCAATATATAAACGTACAGACACACACACAACCTGGGTTTCATAATAAGTATGATATATAATATTGAATGGATTTTACATTGTGACCCTAGGCTTCACGATTTTGAAATTATCAGACAAACTGGTTTATTTTTCATAACTGGATCTATTTATGATTGTTTGACTATGTTTGGTAGCGGGGGGGATCTACTTATGGTGGTACTATCATATGCACAGGCACATAAATGCGGGTGTACACTTTTTCGCTTATTGAAAATATATTTTAGTTTACCCAAAGAAGATTAGCGGTATGGTTTTATGGATTTATAAAGAATCCATTTTTTTAGTCATGAAGATAATGACATCCTTGTGAAAGGCAAAAAGGGAAAGGATTATCCAATCCTTCTTAAAAATCAAGGGATTTAACATCCAGTTTAAAATATCAAATCACAAAGACTTGACTTAAACATGGAAGTCATGTGCTTGATGCCTCTAGGTTTTTGAAAATAGATTTTTTTTAAATATAAAAAGAAAGCTTGGAGCACACCTGTATATATTTCAGGGTGCATTATTGCACCCAGGTGCACCGCTTGAGAAACACTGCTCTATAACAATATAAATGCTGAAATAACTTGACCCTTCAACTGTCTTTGTGACTTCAAGTTTCATATGCAAGGAAGCAAGCTTCACCAAACGCAATCTTCGGCCAGGCAGAAAGGATACTAAAATTCCATTCATGGATTTTCGTCCTCAAGACAGGAGCATGTAGGCTTATTAACCTATACCCAAGTTTTTGAATAAACATTTACTTTAAGATATCTGCATGTGAACTTATCTCCTGTTCAGTATTTTTCCATCACCCGTATTCTGTTATAGCATGTATTCACAAAGGCAAAAATTACACTTTTCGCCTTTTCCGCCAATTGCCTTCTCCAACCTTAGTATTTTCCACTCAATCGTAGCGTCCGGTGTCCCTGCTTCTTTCACTCTGCAGAAATATGCAGTTAACGTAGTGGCGTTGGCATTATTCATGCTCAGTCGGTGGTTATAATACCTCGTCTTCCATTCAACCTCTGCAGTGCCGATGTAAACCTTTCATCCCGCTCGCTACGAATTTTGGCCTTATACACCACGTTTTTCGCCAATCATCTAGTCTTCAGTGGGCAGTTAACTATGTTACTCTCTGGTATTACTGGACACGTCATTGCCACTTGCTAGTAACTTGCTTAATATGGCTACTGATCTTTTTAGCCCTGTTGCCTAAGCTATTATAGCTGACTTTTCTGTTGTTCTTATTGAAAAGTTTCCTCAGTAAACCATGACTCGCGAAAAGTTTAGCTATTAGATTGAGGAATTTTCTGGTCTCATTGGTTCGTAGAGTCTTTCTCAAAGGTGGACGGTTGAACCAAATCACTTTCCTGTTCCAGTTGTTTTTATTTTTGTTGTTTTTATTTTCATCATGCGCTTTTCATAAATTACTTTATTAATATGGCCGCTTTTTTGCAAGGCCTGCTGATAGATTGGTTTGACCGCATAGGTCATGTCGTCATTGGCGGAATTAGCAGATTAGCTGTGATTGCAGTGATTTGTGCATGTGTCGTAGTAAAGCTTTGGGGTGGTTAGAATCATTGTTCACATATGTGATATTCCCTATACTTTTTTCAACGGCTTATATAAGCCTCTGTTTAGGTTTAGCTAAACTTCTACGAAATTGACTTCTCCAGTACACTCCTCTTGTTTTCATCTTTAGGCCATGGGTTTTTAAAAATTTGCTAATATATTTTCTGGTTCTTTCAACGTCCTTAGGGCTTTTTTTTTTTTACCTTTTAACCCATCGTCACGGTATCCCCCCTACGTCATGCAAATTTAATTGATGGCTACCAGCTCACATGCTTCTGCTAAATCCCACACTCCTCAATATCTAATAAACTATTAACAGGAGCAATGGTGCTGGCCAGGGAGTACTGCTGCATTTGATGATAACGAAATGGAAATAATTAAGTAAGCGCAGGGGCCCATATTGTATCATAATGATGTGTTGTGGGTTAATAGGAATGTCTAAACCTTTGATGTGACAATAGGAGTGTATGATTTAACGGAAACATGCAAGCTGGTATGCGTCTATCTGCTATGGAGGTTTTTTCTACAGAAAGGTGTTGAGAATAACAGTGGCTCTAGCGAGAACGTTTTAAGAAAAATAGAAACAAAAAAATGGACGCTTATATTTAGAATCAAAAAGAGAGTTGAAATTTCTGAAACACCCGATGAGGAAAGAAGGCTTGTAAAATTTGATACTTACAGGATTTATAGAATGCAAGATGGAGAGACAAAACGAGCGAGTAACCTAACAAAGTTGTGTACATGGATGGCATAACAATTTGTGAGAGAAAAGAAGAAAAAACAATAATTTTTAAGAGCTACAAAGGATAGGAAGTTACAGAAAGCCATGATCGCCCACGTCTTGAAAGGAGAGGCGAATAGAAGGATAAGAATACCGTATCAAGCTACAGGTTAATAATCCACTTTTGTGGTTTCATAAAGTGTGTATTTGTGTATATAACATATTTAGGCGGTAATAATTAAGCTTTATTAAAATCAACCGACAATGACTGTTTAATTTATTCCAGTTTTCCAGTTTGTGTATAAACTGCCGCACATCCCTATCAAATTTACATTGGAAACTTTATCATGTTTTTGTTCAAGTACTTTCTCTAGTTATTGTCAGGAAGATCATACCCTGAAGTTCATTTACTCTGCGTGAAACACCTAGTCGCAAATTATATTCGTTATTGGTTACTCTATATGGTAGTGAATGCTGGATAATTTCATCACAAACGAAGAAGAGAGTTGAGGTAACAGAAATTTTGTTCTACTGAAGGATGCTGAGAATACCATGGATTGAACATATCCAACCGATAGTCCTTACAGTACCCGCACATTCATATAAGCCAGATACTTCAATGTACCGTGTCACTTCAGGGCGTTAGCGATCATGGCTCTCCAGAAATTCCTGTTCTTTGTAACTGTTAATAAATTTTCCATTTTTGTTTCCCCTTCCAAGCACTGTTCTGCCATCCATTTACTCAAGCTTTCCAGGTAGAGTATGCGTTATTTTCCTCTTGACTTTAAAATCTCTTGTGGCTATTAAATCTTCCAAACCCTCTTCCCTCATTATATATATATATATATATATATATATATATATATATCAGAAATGTGAACTATCTCTTCCGGTGTAAAATATGAGTGTCCTTTTTGTTTCCGTTTTCTCTAAAACTTTGGTCACGTGTTCGGTCTATAGTACTCTAAGCATCCTTAATCCCTGTTGCTTTCAGTGTGGATATTGTCCAGTATTCAGTCATATAGAAGGACCGATATTACGTAACAGTTCAGTACTCTTTTCTTTGAAAATTTCCTGTATCTTAAAACTTTGCTTAACTTTTAGAAAGCATCTTTCGCTATCCTAATGCGCCTTCGGATTTCGGTGTCACACTTTCTGTCCACTTTCTTGATATATTTTCTTTAATCATTTCACTCCAAGCAAGGTAAAAAAGCCACTAAGAGTGTGAAATAATAAGAAAAACACTATTAAGGAGGGAGAAAAATAAAAGAAGAGGAATCAAGAAAAGAGCAGTTAACGATTAATATTGCATTCAAATTAAATTGTTTTATCTGTGTAATTTTCGTATCTCTAATTTATAATATACTAGCAGTAGAGCCCGTCGTTGCTCGGGGATATAACAGTAAGAGATAGATCAAGTATCGACCATCATAAAGACTGAAAAATAAAATTGACAAAGATTATTGCTTAAGGTTGAAGGACACACATGTCTTAATTAGTTTTTTTTTTTTTTTTTACGAATTAGTCAAACTCAAACAAAAACATTGTTTTCAATCGTTATGAGTCTATCAATTGAATAGAATTATAAACAATTATCTTGTAAATGGAATTTTAAAGCATTCTGAATGTAAGAATAAAGAAAAAAGTGTGCACGACAATAAGAAACACTACCTGCCAAAAAAAAGTGAAGTTTTGTTGAAATCGGTTGAAAAATGTAGGAAATCCGATCCCATATATAAATGAACACACACACACACACACACACACACACACACACACACAAACAACCTGGGTTTTATAATAAGTATAACTCGATATGAGTTGTCCCCCTTTCATTCTGGCGACAGAATCGTGTTTTATCGTGTTTTCAAATTGATTTCGTGCAAAAACAATTGTGTTTTTCCAATTTTTGGCGCTGTCAGAACCACCGCAAGGTAATTTTATGCAGTCCTGTGAAGTTTTGTTGAAATCGGTTGAAAAATGTAGGAAATCCGATCCAATATATAAACGTACACACACACACACACAATCTGCATTTTATAATAAGTAAGATTATCGTGTAATAAATGATTTGATTTAACGATATATCAACTCTTTATAGGTTATTTAGTACCGAAATTTAATTTTCTTGGGAGCTTCCAAGTAATAAAAAATATGTTATTCTGCTTTCACAACTGAATACATGGTAGATAATACTCAGCTTTTGTACATATACACATTTGTGTGAACATAATTACTAGATGCAGTGATATATGTGTTTTATATTGTAGTTTTGCTGAAGTTATATTTTGGAATACAGTTTGATTTCTTTATGAAATTCTAGGATATTATATGGATTAATGTCATGAAAGAGTTCTTTCATGGTGATTGATGTATTATTGGTAATTTCGCTATAAATAGGTATTGTTGGTAATTTTTTATATATAAAATGTATTGCCGGTATTTTTACTATAAAATGTATTTTTATACTACCATAGTTTTTTCTTTTGTTTGTGGGATTATCTGTTTGCCCATGGGTGGGACCTGTTAGGATTCCATCACCCTGCGTCAAAGTGAATCTGAGAACAACAGCAATTAAGAGGTAGTTCAACGCCCATCAAAACCTTCAGTCTCCTGATCCGAGGCATTTGCTGCTGGATGAAGTTTATTGTCATAACCAGAACTATGTAATAACTGAATAAAGAGAGTTAAGGCTTGAAGTCACTGCTTCAAATATGATGGGGTTTGCCCAGTATTCACTGCTATACAGGAGGTTCTTACTGTTACCCTTTGAGAAAAAAATATTGGAAATTTGTTCCTCGATCTGCCTGAAACTGGATAAGTAAATATTTCTTTCCTCTGTTAGAATTTAAAAAAAAGCCATCAGAATATACAGCTATAATGAACGTGTGGTGTGTATCTTCGCCGACGATTTTATTGCTTATTCCGACTTTAATATTCAAGTGACAAGCCCAACTTATGGTACTTTGCGATATAGGAAAACAGAACGATATATAGGTTGATGCCTTTTCATGGGATGTTTGCTTGCATTGATAACTAGCATTCTGCAAACAGAATTCAATAATATTCCCTCTTTTCAAGGGGCTTCTATCTACAGACACGCTAGGATCAAACACCCGTAGGATCAAACACGAATACTAGAATATATGTATAAATTCACGCGAATCAGCACTTGCAATCATACATTTTTATTGCTCGTTTCGCTTTCAGCGGGGACATTTTTAATACAGTTACACGTAGTTTCTTTTCCGTATATTTGCTTGCGTGTTTCAGTATATTTCTATGCTAAACAATTATATGCTCAAGGCTACTTTGTATTTTCAGTCGAAACTTAAAAAAAAAGATTAGAAGTGCTAGTTAGCTGAGTTTTTTATTGAAAATCACTGAATTCAAGGCTCAAAAGCCACACAAGTTTGAGTATTACTGAATGAAGGGTGTGATACGATTGTAAAAGGAAGTAATAGAGAGTGAAGATGGTGAGGATATATAAAGTTTGGCTCTTTATTTGAAGATGTTAACTTTTACTGGTTAGGAAAGCATCCACTTGGGAGTCTGTTATACAAAATCGCAGTCTTGAAGGGAAAAGCTGGTCGATACTTAATTTAAATACGGGGTAAATGAGGGTGATTCGAATCCGTGGGTGTGGCATGATATGTCCTGGCTGTAAAGGTCTGAATTTGTGAAATTAAAGAACGGTACTCATTTGAACA